TTGTATCTCGAGGAGTTTCCTTAGAATTGTTACTTTGAATTCCTTTTCAGGCAATCAAATAAGAAGATTTCCTTTACACTGGGGTCAGTTTCTGGAGAATTTTGTGCTGCTTATGTCTGTATGTTGATGTCTGTGCATCTGGTGTAATAGTTGCCTCTTCCAATTTTATGAAGAAACTTTCATAGGGAAAGACTTTGGCCTGTAGCTAAGGTGTAAAATGTCAGGTAGGTGCACTGGCTTTGATTTAGCCCAGAATTGTAGCTTCCTTGTCATTTCTTTAGCCATCCGTGATCAGCATCACATCTAAGAGTACCTCAGCAGTCTAGACTGCAGGTGTTTTGGAAATAGTGGTAGAACTTTGGAATGGACCAGGCTATCGAAGATGCATGACCACAGTTGAAGAGTGATGATGATGGTGGATATGACATCAAGGGACACAGGCTGTGGAGAGGCTTGTCCTCAGTCTTTGTCGAGGTGTGTGCCAGTGGTACTGGGGTTCCTGGCAGGAGCAGCCATGCTGCTGGGGCCCTGTGGCCCCTAGAGCAGGATGGACTGTAGCAGTGACTCCATTCCCAAGGTGACATTCTGTTTTAAGTTAACCTCTGGAGGTTGGAGTGGGATTGCCCATATGCATTTCTTTTCTGGAGCAAAGCAGTCACATGGGTAGCTCCCCACACCAGTTTCAAAGACTATGAGCACGAAGAAATTCTCTTGTCATTAGGACTGCCAGCCTGTGCCTTCCTGCTTATCTTCTGGCAATGTAGAGACCCCTGGCCAGGGAGCTGCGTCATAGTTACCGTGTGCTTTGTCTCTCTGTGCTGCCATCCTGAACCTTTTTCAAATTTTAAAATTATTTGTTTATTTGTAAAATTCATAACTGTTATTTTGAAAAAAATTAAAAGCATAACAGAGTTTTGCGGTCATCTTACCCATAGATGATAGAAATGAAGATGCCACATATGTTGCAGTTACATATAGTAAAGGTCAAAATTCTAAAAGCGGGGTTGGGGGTGGCTCACTGGTAGTGTACTTGCCTAGAATGTGTGAGGCTCTGGGTTCCATCCTGAGCACCTTACAAAAAAACCTAAATTGTTTGTTTTAATTTCTACTGTTTGGTGCTGGAGATTGAACCCAGGGGCCACTGAGGCACATCCCCAGTCCTTTTTATTTTTTGAGACAGGGTCTCCCTGAATTGTTTAGGACTTGGCTAAATTGCTGAGGCTGGCTTTGAAYTTGTGATCGTCCTACCTCAGCCTCCTGARTCACTGGGATTACAGGCATGCACCACCATGCCTAGCTCAAAAGGTTTGTTTTAAAAACCAATCATGTCCCATTCATGTTTCCCTGGAGGAAAGGGTATTCCCAAAGGAATTATCTGTTGAATTTGGGGGGCAGGTGATTTATCATTTTTTCTCTACACAGGTTTAAATTTCCTGTCCTGAAACAAGTACATTTTGTTTAGGCCAACAGTTATTGTTTATATTACTTTTTTTTTTTTAAATTTATAGACAGGGTCTCACTGAGTTGTTTAGCATTTCGCTTTTGCTGAGGCTGGCTTTGAACGCACGATCCTCTTGCCTCAGCCTCCCAAGCCGCTGGGATTACAGACAGGTGCCACCACATCAGGCTATATTACCATAATTATTAATGTACATGATCTTCGTGGTTGAATCATGAGGTAACACTGACATTATCATTTTTATCCTCTTCCTCCCCTTTTACTATCCCTGAAGTTAGACATTTTTTTTTACTTGCTTAATTTTTCTATGTACTTAACAATGTTCAGCTCCATATTTTTAACCAGTCATCTGCATTCATTTTTGATGGTTTCCCATGCTATGTTTTATTCTCTTCACCTCTGAAAAATTGTAGGGTTAAACTTCTCTCCTCCTAGAATCACAGTTTTCAGTACCAGCAGAAGCATCCGTCTGCCCTGGGGCACAGAGTCCTCCTGTCTCACAAGTTGGGTCCCCCCTTTGTGAGGCCCTGGAGTTGGAGATTGCAGGCAGGAGTTGACCAGCATATTCCTCATTCTGTTTCAGTGGGTGTTGTTTTTCGGTTTAGAAACAGAAAGGGGAGTTACAGTGCTTTTTTCCCTCTTAATACCACAAACGAAAACTTGTAAAAATTCTGTATTTCTCTCTGAATCGCTTGTCACCAGTCCCTGTTATATTACCTGTTTAGTCAACAGAAGTTAAATGACAGAGGGGAAAGAAAAAACTGATGGAGGAGTTCTAGGATATCATGATTGGAAAAAAAGTCATGATAAATCATTATGAAGAAGAGAGATCAACAATGACTCAAAATTGGGAAGAAACCTCACCATTTAGGCCTGGGAAGCCTGGGGCAGCAGTTGGGTAGATCCACTTTGACACCCTGGGTCAGTGCTTTGTGGCAACAGGTTGTCCTGCTTCTCCGTTCCAATTTGCAAAATCCCAGGAGAGACCTTGGAGGACTCGGCTCAGGGCAGTGGTCTGCCTGTGAATCGGTGGACTGGATGGGGACAGGCCTGGCGGGGGCATCCTAGAGAAGGAGGCAGCATTCAGCAGGGCAGCTGCCATCCGTGCAGCATCATGTTAGTTTGTCAGTAAGACTGGGCTGCCATGAGACTTGAGTGAGAAAGCACACATGAAAAGTCTTTGTCAGCTGGAGAATTGAAATGTTGTGCTCCATGTGTGTACGATGAACTGAAATGCATTCTGCTATCATGTACAGCTAAGTAGAACAAATAAAAGATAAAAATATATATTAAAAAAAGAATGAAGAAAAGTCTTTGTCAGTTGAGAGTGCAGCTGCATGCAGCCTGTGTGTGTGTGTGTGTGTGTGTGTGTGTGTGTGTGTGTGTGTGTGGTATATGTGTGTGGTGTGTCAGTGTTGCCTCTGGCCTCCCTCTCTAGTCTGCACCTTCTTTTTCCTTGAGCTCTGGGTAACCGTTTGGAAGGGCTTAAAGCGTCATGCCATTGTGAAACTCTCCCTCTTGTGCTCCTAATGGATGCTACCCAGCCTCCAGGAGGGCTAAGTGTCCCTCGTAGGTCCTGCTCTTTGTCCATCTAGGACATGGGTCTCTATTACTGCTCTCCTTATAGTGCAGTAAGTGGGGTCACATCCTCTTCACCTGTGTGCCTATGTGTACTGTGAAGCCTGGCAGGATAGGCACAGGAAAATGTATGCTGGTTGACTGTATGAGAATAATAACTGTTTATGAAATAAATGGATGCATATGTCAGTTGTTAATATTAATTTTGTTGTTGCCAGGGCACGGAGATCTGGTCCAGCCCTCTGCAGCCTGCTCCTCTGGTGAATTTGGTGACCTATCCTCAGCTGCAGCTGGTTGCTACTGTGGACCAGCAGGGATTGATCAAAGTGTGGAAAGCAGAGACTGGGTGGGAGTGGGCCTCCTTCTGCCTGCCTACCTCCTGCTCTGCAGTGGAGGCCTGTGACCATCCAGAGGGTTCTTTTCTGCTGGTGAGTGACCTGGCTCTCAGGAGCCTTTGCAGGGCCTACCTGCCTCCCAAGATCTGAATACTGGCATCATGGCTTCCATGATTGGTGGAGTCTTGAGCCAGACCTCTCCTTGGCAGACCTATTTGGTAATACCAGTGATCTAAAATAAGGAGTGAATAGTTAATAGATGAGGATTAAGGAGATGGCAGAAGTCAAAGTGATGAGCCTGTCATTTGGGACTCTTTTTGCTATAGAACCTTAGTCTAGGCAGCCAAGAGATTGAGCAGACCTTTGATAGCATAGGGACAAACGTTGGAGTGTGGGGCCACCATGTATGGACCCTGTGAACCCTTATGGATTAGGTAGGATTTGCAAGTGTTACAACCCAAAGGTAAGCAGGATTTAGCACTCTGGTTACTCATTTGGAGCACATGAGAATAATTTCTCGATAATGTTAATAGTGTCCCACAGCTCACATTGTTTCCAAATATAGTGTTCAGTACACACTTAAAACTAGGCACATGAAGAGATGAGGTCACATGAGCTAGAACTGGCACTAGAAACAGCACACAATATAGAGTGAGTCACAGGGCTTCAGACACCTGAAGTTGTTGTTCAGGGAGATAAATATTTTTTTTTTTTAAAGAGAGAGAGAGAGAGAGATTTTTAATATTTATTTTTTAGTTTTCGGCGGACACAACATCTTTGTTTGTATGTGGTGCTGAGGATCGAACCCGGGCCACACGCATGCCAGGCGAGCGTGCTACCGCTTGAGCCACATCCCCAGCCCTGACCCAGGGAGATAAATACTAACAGAAAACAAAAATTTTCTAAATCTGTTATTTTATTTATTTAAAAAATAAAATGTAACATATTTGGAAAAGAATTAGATTTAATGGAAATTCTAGAAGAATTCATTAACAAAGATTAAGAACCCAGTGGTTGGATATAAAAGCAGGGGACATGCCTGAGTCACACTGACTTCCTCATCTTTAACTGGACAGTCCAGTGTATCATTCACAGCCCTGTTGTGCTAGGGCAATGAGAAGATGGCCCAGGGTCCAAAGAAAACTCCTGGGGTTGAGATGTTAGGATGTAAGGTTTACTRAGAAAAGCTTACAGGGAAGATCCAGTGGTGATAAGCTTCTGCAGAAAGTCCAGTGGTGACAGGTTGCACAGCTGCACTTCCATTTCACATAGCCAGTCTGTGCTTCACCAGAAAAGCACACCTACATTCTCCCACGATGCTTTGTTCAGTGACGGCAGCTGGTTCAAGCTCTTTCCATTCCACAGTGCTCAGATCCATGCCAGTGACTGCAGGGATGGGGTGTAAAAGTTAGGCTGAAGAAGTAGTCATATTATCAGTTTGCTTTGTTCTTTGCATGATCAGCATCTCAATGAGCAGCTATTCTGACGTGTGCAAGAAAGCAGTTCTTACAGATAACACTGGTTTGCCCTCTTTGTAACACACCATGAGAGAATCAGGGTCTTCTGAGATAGTATTCACTTGGACATTTGGTCCAGGCTTGTTCGCTGTGTCTGTCTGTCTCTCTGTCTCTGTCTCTGTCTCTCTCTCTCTTTTATTTATATATGACAGCAGAGTGCATTACAATTCTTATTACACATATAGAACACAATTTTTCATATCTCTGGTTGTATACAAAGTATATTCACACCAATTCATGTCTCATACGTGTACTTTGGATAATGATGTCCATCACATTCCACAATCATTGCTAACCCCATGCCCCCTCCCTTCCTCTCCCACCCCTCTGCCCTAACTAGAATAGTTCATCTATTCCTCCCATGTTCCCCCTCCCTACTCGCTATGGGTCAGCCTCCTTATATCAGAGAAAACATTAGGCGCTTGGTTTTTGGGGATTGGCTAACTTTGCTTAGTATTCTCCAACTCCATTCATTTACCTGCAAATATCATGATTTTATTCTCTTTTATTGCTGAGTAATATTCCATTGTGTATATATGCCACATTTTTTTTATCCTTCATCTATTGAAGGGCATCTAGGTTGGTTCCACAGTTTAGCTATTGTGAATTGTGCTGCTATAATAATTGATGTGGCTGTGTCCCTGTAGTAGGCTGTTTTTAAGTCCTTTGGGTATAGACTGAGGAGTGGGATAACTGGGTCAAATGGTAGTTCCATTCCCATTTTCCAAGGAATCTCTATACTGCTTTCCATATTGGCTACTTCAATTTGCAGTCCCTCTAGCAGTGTATGAGTGTGCCTTTTTCCCCACATGCTCACCAACACTTATTGTTGTTTGTCTTCATAATAGCTGCCATTCTGACTGGAGTGAGATATCTTACAGTAGTTTTGATTTGCATTTCTCTGATTGTTAAGAGATGATGAACATTTTTTCATATGTTTGTTGATTGATTGAATATCCTCTTCTCAGAAGTGTCTGTTCAGGTCCTTGGCCATTTATTGATTGGATTATTATTATTATTATTATTTTGATGTTTAGCTTTTTGAGTTCTTTATAAACCCTAGAGATTAGTGCTTTACCTGATGTGTGAGGGGTAAAAATTTGCTCCCAAGATGTAGGCTCTCTATTCACCTCACAGATTGTTTCTTTTGCTGAGAAGAAACTTTTTAGTTTGAATCCATCCCATTTATTGATTCTTGGTTTTAATTCTTGTGCTATAGGAGTTTTATTAAGGAAGTTGGGGGCCTAATCCCACATGATGGAGATTAGGGCTACTTTTTCTTCTATCAGACACAGAGTCTCTGATTTAATTCCTAGGTACTTGATCTACTTTTGAGTTTTGTGCATGGGAGAGATAGGGATTTAATTTCATTTTTTTTCATATGGATTTCCAGTTTTCCCTGCACCATTTGATGAAGAGGCTATCTTTTCTCCAGTGTATGTTTTTGTCATCTTTGTCTAATATAAGATAATTGTAATTTTGTGGGTTAGTCTCTGTCTCCTCTATTCAGTACCAATCTGTTTTGGTGCCAATACCATGCTGTTTTTGTTACTATTGCTCTGTAGTATAGTTTAAGTTCTGGTATTGTGATGCCACCTGCTTCACTCTTCCTGCTAAGGATTGCTTTAGCTATTCTGGGTCTCTTATTTTTCCAGATGAATTTCATGATAGCTTTTTCTATTTCTATGAGGAATGCCATTGGGATTTTGATTGAAATTGCATTAAATCTGTATAGTGCTTTTGGTAGTATGGTCATTTTGATAATATTAATTCTGCTTATCCAAGAGCAAGGTAAATCTTTCCATCTTCTAAGGTCTTCTTTGATTTCTTTCTTTAGGGGTCTGTAATTTTCATTATATAGATCTTTCACCTCTTTTGTTAAGTTGATTCCCAAGTATTTTATATATTTTTTTGAGGCTATTGTAAATGGGGTAGTTATCCTCATTTCCCTTTCAGAGGATTTGTCACTGAAATGCCTTTGATTTATGAGTGTTGATTTTATATCCTGCTACTTTGCCAAATTCATTTACTAGTTCTAGAAGTTTTCTGGTAGAACTTTTTGGGTCTTCTAGGTATAGAATCATATCGTCAGCAAATAGTGCTAATTTGAGTTTTTCATTTCCTATCTGTATCCCTTTAATTTCTTTTAATCTAATTGCTCTGGCCAGTGTTTTAAGAACTATGTTAAACAGAAGTGGTGAAAGAGAGCATCCCTGTCTTGTTCCAGTTTTTAGAGGGAATACTTTCAGTTTTTTTCCATTTAGAATGATGTTGGCCTGGAGCTTAGCATAGACAGCTGTTATGATGTTGAGATATGTTCCTGTCATCCCTAATTTTTCTAGTGTTTTGAACATGAATTTTTCTAGTGTTTTTTTAAAAAATGTTTCTTAGTTACGGATGGATACAATACATTTATTTATTTATCTTTAGCGGTTCTGAGGAGCGAACCCAGGGCCGCACACATGCTAGGTGAGAGCTCTGCCATGAGCCACAACCCCAGCCCCTCAGGCTTGCTCTTACCTTTTCTTCTAACTTGGCTAGCTTCCTGGGAAAGGGGCATTGTCGGGTCATGGTGTTTAGTATTACTGTGTTTTTGTTGTTGTTGTTGTTGTTTGTTTAAGAGTGATGGATTCAGTTAAGGGCTAGACTGTAGCACCTCTCCAGTGAGGTCGTCCCATGCAGTGGTGGCTGTGCCATTCAGAAAACATGTGAACACACTTCATGAGTTGCTCAGGAGCCTCTCAGGGAGTCAGTGGTCCTAGAGATGGGGGGCCCTCTAAGACCACTGCATCTAGGGAGTGACTGAGCAGAAGGGGAGCTGCATCCTCCTACAGCGGTGACTGTGCTTAGGCCTCAGATCTGACTGTGTCCTAACGATGCCAGGTAGGTTCTTAGCAGGAAGGCTTCTGTGGCTGTTGCTTCCAGGACCCAAGCACAACATGCAACTGGGGCAGAGTCACAGGCTCAGGAACTGTGAGCCTCCACCCCCAGAAGGGCCCCATGTGCAGCCAGCAGTTTTTGTTCTAAGGTGTGACAAGTTTTGGTACCAAGGCATGGGTAGCAGAGGCCATTATGGGTGACCCAGTGTTACTAAAGGCTGTGTGGTACAGAAATCCCTGGGGGCACTAATGAGGTGCTTATAATGTTGCAAAGTGGACAGTTTTTCCTCCCTTTCCCTCCTTTTTTCTTTAATTTTCCTTTCTTTTCTTTATACCGGGAATGGAATGCAGGCTATGCTTTGCCACTGAGGTATATCCCCAGGCCTTTTTTAACTTTTGAGATAGGGTCTTACTCAGTTGCTGAGGGTTTCACTAGGTTGCTGAGGCTGGCCTTTTAACTTGTGATTCTCTTGCCTCAGCCTCCTCAGCCATCGGAACCACAACACCTGTTTATGAACAGTTTCAAGAGCCTTTTGTTATGAAAGTTGTGAAGACCACTATAAAGAGGACCAAAGAAAATTTGTAAATGGGGAATATATGGTCTACAGTGAGACAGTGAGCAACAGCTTGCTGCACGAGAAGCACAATAAGCTAATATTATGGCACTGAATTTTTGCAAACACAAAGGATTTTGTTGATGGTCAGCAACAAGGATATAGGATGCAACCTCATCTGTCTTCCTGATTGGCCAGCAGCAAAGGATTTTAAGTGGTAATGTAAGGGGAAATAGAGGGTGGATTCGTTGAAACCAGGAAAATTTTGATGAAATAGTACACAGCACACACTGATCCAGGTGGATCTGTCCTACATTGTTGCAGGCATCCCTGGTTTTAACCTAGGTCTCTGAGGCTCTGTTCTTATTCCTCAGTGAAGAGTTGGTTCTCCCAGGCCCTCAAGATTATTTTTAGTGTGGGCTAGGGATGTTGCTCAGTGATAGAGCCTTTTGCCTGGCAAGCATGAGGCCTTGGGTTCGATCCCTAGCACAGCCCAAAAAACAACAATCAAAACCAAAATTATTAAGGTCCTAGGGGTCTGTGCCTGTGTCCTGAAAAAGAATTTGAATAGCATTTTTTTTTTTTTTTTTTTGCAGTACTGGGGATTGAACCCAGGGCCTCACGCATGCTAAGCAAACTTTTGTCCACTGAGCTACATTCCTACCTCATTTGAACAGTTTTTTTTTTAAAGAGAGAGTGAGAGAGGAGAGAGAGAGAGAGAATTTTTAATATTCATTTTCTAGTTCTCGGCGGACACAACATCTTTGTTGGTATGTGGTGCTGAGGATCGAACCCGGGCCGCACGCATGCCAGACGAGCGCGCTACCGCTTGAGCCATATCCCCGGCCCGAGACAGGGTTTTGCTAAGTTGTTGAGGCTGACCTTGAACTTGTGATCCTCTTGCCTCAGCCTCCTGAGTCTCAGGTTATAGGCATGGGCCACTGTGCACAGCTCGAGCAGTTTTTAAGAATAGGAAGTTGCTGTCTTATGACTTAGCCTTAGTAGCACCTCAGAAGATCTAAAAGATATCAAGCTTTTTTCCTTTCACATTGTGGGTGTTGAGGAGGACTGGTGATTTTGTCATGGACCCATCTCTATTTTGAGTTTTTGTTTCCTTCCCTTGAATTTTCTTATTTCTTCTTTTTTCTTTCATGAATGCTTTGGGGAAGGGGGAGAGCTTCTCTATCCTGGTTATATTTGTAAGTAAATTATCCCCAAAGAATCCCAATTAAGTGTTGGGGGATCCCTGTAGCAGTGCTTACCTTTCTGGCTTCAGAGGCCCTGAGCCTAAGCTAGGAATGAAGTAGCCCCTTATCACATTGGTGAACTGTGGACTGAGTGGAACCCCGAATCTGCTGGCCATTGTGTAGTTATCTAGCAGGGTGACTGTGGTAAAGACAGGTAGGCGAAGCATTGTCACTGCTTTTAAAGAAGTTGATGCCTCTGGGTGACACAGGTGTTATTCCCAGTGTTATGGTTTGGATGTGAGTAACCCAATCCATGAATAAATCCATGAATGAATCCTCCTGATGGGATTAACTGAGCAGTGACTGAAGGTGGATAGAGTGCAGCTGAAGGAGGCAGGGGGCATTGAGGGTGTGCCTTTAGGACATTTGTTTTATATCTGGCAAGTAGAGTCTCTCTCTCTCTGCTTCCTAATCATCATGTGAGCTGCTTCCCTCCGCCACACTCTCCCCTCCGCCACACTCTCCCCTGCGCCACACTCTCCCCTCTGCCACACTCTCCCCTCCGCCACACTCTTCCCTCTGTCACACTCTTCTCTCGGCCAGCCACACTCTTTTGCTGTGATGTTCTGTTTTACCTCAAGCCCTAAGGAATGGAGTCAGCTGTCTGTGGACTGAAATCTCTGAAACTGTGAGCTCCCAAATAAAAACAGTTATAAAGGAGGAACAGTTTATCAGGTCTATCACAGCAGTGAAAAAGCTGACCAAAACATCTAATAACCCAGAACATCAGAATCTTTGTTGGTATGGAGACATTAGGCAGCAGCAATAACTCAGGCATTTTATGGGATCCTGGTGAGCCACCTGCTTTCAGGAGTGAGGGTCTAAGCACATCACATGGTGATTGGTCTTTTTTACAACCAGTGGACCCATATGTTGGTCAGGTTGTTAATCTCCCTGCTGARTGCTCTGTAGAGTGGGAGCCACAGTCAGGTGGAAACATGGCCTCGGCCTCCTGAGTCTTTGGGATTACAGGCATGGACACTGTGCCCAGCCTGATGAGCAAATATTTTTAAAGATTAAGAACAGCATGGTATTGACATTAAATATGAAGAATGCTTATAATTATATTTATATTAATTATATTAATATTAATTGACATTATAATTATATTTATATTAATTATATTTATATTAATTGACATTAAATATGAAGATGCTTATAATTATATGTGTTTGTGTCTCCTATTCCACTAGGAGACACAAACACATATAATTATAAGCATCTGGTACTTATAATCTAGTCAACAAATGAGCAAAATAACCAAACAAATTTCTCAAAAGAAGAAACACAAATGGCCAATAAATACACAAAAGAATCTCCAACTTCTCTAGCCATAAGCAAAATGCAAATCAAAACTACACTAAGATTTCATCTCATTCCAGTGAGAATGGCATTTATCAAGAACACGAATAATAAATCCATGTGAGGGTGTAAGGGATAAAGTACACTGACACGCTGTTGAGACTGCAGATTAGTAAACCACTCTGAAAAGTGTGGAGATTCCTCAAAAAATTAGGAATGGAACCACCAAATGACCCAGCTATCCCAGTTCTTGGTATAGATCCAAAAGGTTTAAAGTCGGGATACAACAGTGACTCAGCCACATCTATGTTTTTAGCAGCATAATTCACAGTAGCCAAGCTATGGAGTCAATCTAGGTGCCCTTCAATAGATGAATGGATTAGAAAAAATGTGGTATATATACACAATGGAGTATATACTCAGCCGGAAAGAAGAATGACACATTGTGGCATTTGCTAGTAAATGGATGGAACTGGAGATTACAATGCTAAGTGAAATAAGCCAGTCCCCAAAAGTCAAAGGTCAGATGTTGTCTCTAATATGCAAAAGCTAATCCCAATAGAGGGGGCACAAAAAAAGAATTGACAGATCAGTGGAGTAGACCAAGAGGAATGAAGGGAAGGTAGGAGGGATAGGACAGGGAACAACAGCAGAATGAATCTGGCTTAACTTCCCCAAGTACATATATGAATATGTCAGAGTGATTTTCACTCTCATGTACATCTACAAAACACTCAAAAAAAAATCAATTAGTAAAGCGATCAGTAAAGTTGAGAGATGGGAACAAGGGGAGGGAGGAGGGGAGAGAAGGAGGAAGTCTAATAAAATCAAAGGTGGTATTTTATTATATCCAAATTTAAAAATCCATTAAAATATTATAAATTGGATGAAGAGAAATAGCTATTTTATGCAGGGAACTGGAGGAATATAGTTTGAGGGATTTTTGAAAGCTGCATACTCTTTGGTCTAGTGGTTCCAGTTAGGGTCCTTCCCTGTCCCAGCACAGACACATAGTGTCCAGGTGTGTGCAGGAGTATTCTCTGCAGCAGTGATTGTTGAACAGTTTAAATTTCTATCAGTAGGACAGGAAATCAAAAGAAAWGGTCCACTAATGTGGAGACTCCAAGGAGTATTTTCAGTGTAAAACTAAAAGGCCGGTTGCAGCACAGCATGCCATTGTGACTGTGGATGCCTTTGCCAGTGGGTAGAAAGGCACGAAAGGGTCACATGTGAATCCTGCAGGGAGGTGAGCAGAAGCTTTGAAGTCTCTGTTGTTTGAATGTATTCATTTTTGTCTGTGTATTTATTTATTTTTGCCATCCTAGGGATGGAACCCAGGGCTACATGCATGCTAGGCAAGCACTCTACCACTGAACTACACCCTAGTCCTATGAGTGTATTTGAAAAAATATTCTAAGGTGCAACCTCAAGTAAGTGGCACTTGCATCCTGTGGGGGCAGCAGTTAAACGGTGGTTTCCATTCTGGTGAGGACAGGTCAGAACATGATGCTTCCTGCTGGGCTCAGGGCCTGGCCCCTCTAACACTCTGCTGGCCTTTTGGTTCTTTATCCGTTGCAGGTGGCTTGTGCTGAAGGGACTCTCTACACACTGACAGTGCCTCAGCTGCAGGTGGTCTCCAAAGTGACTTTGTTTCCCAGTCCCTTTGTGAGCCTCCTCTGCTCTCCTGACCGACAGTGGCTGTTTGCATCTGCACACAATTCAGACCTAGGCCCAAAGGTCAGTGCCTAGGGAACCCTTTCCTTGGGGGAGGCCTCGCCTTGTGAGAGGAAATAGAGGGTCTGGCCTCTAGAGTTGCATCCTATGAGCTCAAGAGCTGCTTTGTGCTTAAGACCAAGCCCCATGGCTGGCAGGAGTGAGCCCTGTTGCTCCCAGGAGCCACATTCTGTCTGCAGGGGCCTCTGTTCCCAGCAGTCACGTCTGCTTCTAGCAGAAGGGACACTTGGAAGTCCCTGGCCCCGGAGAGCGCTGTTTTCTGGCAGCCATGCTGCCTGTGAGCTAGAAGGAGCCGGCCTTGCTGGGGAGGCAGAAGTGTTCAGATGGAACAGGTTTGAGACCTTAGTGACATACTGGGGAAAACGTTCTAGAGCCTTTGGTGGTCTGAGAAAAGTTTCAATGAGAGCATGAGTGAGGGGAGCATTTGGTGTCTGGAAAAGGAAATGGTGGGCATGTCTTCAGTGCTGCCTTCTTCCTGTGCCGTAATGCTGAGTCCCAGTGACACGCATGCAGAAATGGCTTTCATTTGCCAGGGGATGAAGCACTTTCTTTTTTGTTGTTGTTTAGGGGATCAAACTCAGGGGCACTCTACCACTGAGCTATGTCCCTTGCGCTTTTTCATTTTTGTTTCGAGATGAGGTCTTGCGGAGTGGCTGAGGGTGGCCTCAAACTTGTGATCCTCCTATCTCAGCCTCCTGAGTAGTTGGGATTACAGGCATGGGCCACTGTGCCCAACAAATAAAATACTTTTTGAGTGACAGGATTTGGACTGGGAAATTAGATCTTAGTAAAATATAGACAGTTGGTTATGGTCTTGTGGAGAAGGAGGACAGAGAGAGAGCAAAAGTTGTTGCAGAGCAAGAAGTAGGGTGGGAAGCCTCAGGACCTAGAAGCCAGGGAGGTAAGTGGTCAGAGAACAGACAGGTTCAAAGAGGGCMTAGAGGGAACTACCAGGAACAGGCTGGGGTCTATGGGAGGCCTAAGGAGTCACTGAAGAGATATGCTAGGGAGACATGTGACATCAGCAAAACATGACAACAGCTGGTCACAAATAGAAATGCCATTTATGTGGTGGATCTGTCACACCAGCACCAATCTTAGTGGGAATGGCATATCAGGATGTTTCCAGCAGGGCCAGACATAAGCTGGGATTAACCTGAAACAGCTTGGTCCAGCCGGGTGTGGTGGCACGCACCTCTAATCCCAGTGGCTCAGGAGGCTGAGACRGGAGAATTGCGAGTTCAAAGCCAGTCTCAGCAAAAGCAAGGCACTAAGCATCCCAGTGAGACCCTGTCTCTAAATAAAATACAAAATAGGGCTGGGATGTGGCTCAGTGGTTGAGGGCCCCTGAGTTCAGTGCCCAGTTTAAAAAAAAAAAAAAAAAAAGCTTGGTCCATTCATAGCCTGGAAGGAGGGTATGCAGTGGCACAGGCATACAGGCATTGTGGGGTATGCAGACAGCCTGGTGCCCTGGCCAGGCCCGGGATGCAGGAGTCAGGCTGGGCATGGGAGGTTTTCTGAGTGCCCAGGGTCTGAGAAGCCACTCCTTCGTCTACATGGTGACCATTCAGGAGTATTTCCCCAGGTGTTCTACACTCAGTCCTTGCTGCACCCATCGGAAGATGAACTTCCTGTTTCTACCACCCTCACTGTCCGGTTGAGTTCCAAAGCCTGCTGGGCCCCTGATGAAGCTGCCAGGCTGATTGTTATGCACAGAAATGGCAGTGTCAGGCAGCTGGTTGTCACTACCTTTGAGTTAAAAGCCATGAAATCCAGGGACAGAGTGAGCATTCTGGGTAAGAGTCCCCCATGCTGGCCACGGTCTGCACATCACCAGCATCACAGTGTGGTGTTTCTAGGGCGGGTTTCCGTGTCTCTTTTGAACACTTGTTCCTCTCTTCCAGGGGTGTAGCCCACCAGAAGTTACATTGTGATTTTATGTCCTGGTGGAAAGATGGTGCACATGTTGGGCCCCCTTCATGGTCCTGAGATTCAGACACTAATACACATCCCAAGTGATCTTCCTGCTTCCATTTATTACTACCTTTCTCTTCCTGATTAGGTCAAAGCCCCTGCTCTCAGCATCGTGTACAAAGATGAATAAAAGCTAAAATTACTTTATTCCCCAAGAAGTTTCTAGTCTAGTAAGAACCGTGACCCTCCCCGCTATCTCCTCTATTTCCTAGGCCCCACATTACTCTGATAGGCCTTGCTTTTGGTTCTTGGCATTTTTTTCCTTTGTATTCTTTCATTTTCATATACTATGACTAAACTTTGCTCTGAGCTTCCTGGCAGTTGATGAAAAAAGGGAAACAGGATGTATAATATGTGCCTTGTCTGATATAATGAAACACACAAATTCTTCTTAAGAGGTAATTTTTTTCCTATAAAAAGGAATGCCATGCAGTATAATGAACTGTATCTTAAAGAGGAGTTTTTGGCAGATGTCATACAGTTATCCCATGGCCATTTCTTCTTTCACTCTGTCTTAGAAGGGTATCTTCAACTTCTTCCCTTCAACCAAGGGAAGAGGTAAAGGGAGCCCTGGTTCCCTGAATGGTTCTGTGTACCACATGCTGTCAGTCATTCCCATAAGCATATGGCATTGAGTCCACCCTCTGTGATTGCAATGTTACAATCACTATTCTGTTGCTGATGAACTGGAGATTTAGGGGAGTAAATGCATGGACCAGGGTTGAGTGCGGGTCTAACTGCAAAGCAGTGGAATAAGTGTGCCACATCATCTTAAGTGATATCTCTGATAACTCAGAGAAAGCCAATCTGTGTTTTTATTCGAAAAAGCACAACAGATGGCCAGTTTCCTCTTGCCAGACGCCATGATGCCTCCTCACCTCATGCAGAGCCATGGCTCTCAGGTGATCCTGCTGACCTCTGGGTCAGAACTGGTTCTCCTCACCATACATGGTCTGCAGCTTGAGGCCTTCCAGGACCACCAGAAGCCCATCACAGCCCTATGGGTGGTGAGTGCAGCGTGCCCTGCCCCTGCCATGCTCTCCTGCAGGAGCCCACACCGTGGCCTCACTTGACTTCCTCTCAAGGGCCCAGAGCGAGTCATCACCTCTTCCTTGGACCTCTCTCTGCGTGTCTATACGTGGAATAAGAAAAGTAACTTCCCAGCCCTCAAGAGCTGCTATCACTTGCTTGGGGGATCCCACAGATGGGCCAGGTAATCGGCTGTGTTTCTTCGTACTGCCTGTAAAAATGGGCTATGTGGCCTACAAAGCCATGTTTCTGTTTTGTTTTGGAGACGGGTCTTATTGTGTTGCTCAGGCTGGCCTTGAACTCCAGGGCTCAAGCACTCCTTCTTCCTCATTGTCCAAGTACCTGGGACTACAGGCCTGTGCTATCACACCTGTCTCAAAGAAGTTTTTTAAAGGAAATGTTGGAAAGGGTGTTAATAGGACTTAGTCATGTGCCCCTCCTGCCCCTTACTTACTGGACGTGAGACCAGCTTATGCATGCTCTGCTGCCTTTTCTGTTAAACCAGACTGCTCGCTCTAGGCATATATGTCATCTCCTGTGATGCACAAAACAGCCATCTGTAGTTGGCATCATCCACAGGTGAGACAGGCTGAGAGATGTGGATGATTTGTTCAAAGTCCCACAGGGACTGCATGGCCAAGCCCAAGTAGGACCTTGACTCTGGCCTTATGAAAACTTGACTGGACCCATGAGCCCTTGTGGTTCAGTCTCCTCCATTCAAGAGAGCAGTGAAAAAAAAAGAAAAAAATCAGTGAGCCTGTCCAGAAATTGATAAAATTAATTCTAAATTCTGGGGAAATGACTCAGATTTGCCCAGATTATATTAGATGCTTCTCTTTAAAAACTTATGTTAGAACAGCTAAAATCACCATGATTCAGGCTGATACTGTCAGGAGGGTCCAAATGGTATTTCCACTTGAGTGTGCCAGTAATTTGCCAGTTGTGACAAATGACTTTAGGCCCAGAGTAAGCAAGAGATAGAAAGAGGGCTGGATGGGGTTGACTGGGTGTGAGAAAGCACAGAAGGCTGAGGTTGATCTTCGTGAAAGAGYTTTTACTGTTTAAATATTGACCCTTTTTCAGATTAACACCTGGCATGCCTTTCTCTTTGCAGAGGATTTAGTCATGTGGAAAGTGACATCATGAGCATTGTGGGTGTGGAAGTCAGAAGCAACGGAACAAGTATTCTGAGATCATATTGCTTCAAAGTTCAGTGTGGCCAAAAAGCTTGCACCGGTTGAAGCTATCTCACTTTGGAAAAGAGCCTGCGTGGCATATAAAAACTAATGATGTTATCAGTGTTGGGAAAGGAGAGTCCTTCTCACATGTTTACTGTGTGTCAAGTGCACTGTGCTCTGTGACTTTTAAATCCTCTCATAACAGGCCAATGAAGTAGGTACCATCTTCTTTGTTTTTCAGACAAGGAAAATAAAATACAAAAGGTGAGTAATTAGCCATTATTATCCCCATTTCCAGATGCTAAGCAACATGCCCAAGATTTTTCAGATTATTGGTGGCAGACAGGAGTTGAATAAAATTCTGAGGGTACCAGAAAGCCCATAATTAAATTATTAGGATTATAAGGGTTTATTTTATCTGAATATACCATGAACTGAGTATTTTTAATTCTAAATCCTGTTTTATGTGCTTTAGACACGTTAGTTCTTGCTGTCACATAGATGGATTTGTGGTACCCTGTTATATAACCCTAGAGCTGCCATTTTTTGTTTTGTTTCATTGGTACCCGCTCCAATTGGTCAGTATGGAAGCCTGGCTGGGTTGTGGGTGTATCATTCAGAGTTCTTAATTGTAAGCAACAGGAGCAGACACTGACTGAAACCAAACAAGGAATTTATTGGAAGGAAATGGAGTAGTCCACTGGGTCATTGGGAAAGTTGGACAAACAGGATGGAACAGAGGACGGCCAGGCAGCAGGAGACACGCATGTCCTGCTCCAGCAAGTCTGACTTGAACCACCCCTGGGCTCCATTTCCCTCAGGCTCTGTGCTTTGCTACCACTGTTCTTGTTTGTCACTGAATAGGCACTATGGCCACCACAGAAACACTTCCCAGCTGCTCTGTAGTGTGTTCAGAGTGTGAGTGTGTGTGTGTGTGTGTGTGTGTGTGTGTGTGTACGTGCACACGCACACTTGCATAACACCCACTCCACTGAGATAAGGAGGGGGAAAGGAGAATCTGGCTCCTTCAGGTTCAATAGCAAGTTCTCCCAACCAAGATGTACATGGTAAAAAATTCTCCAAAAATACTTTGTACTTTGCCCCATACAATAATGTCCCATTTCCTATATTAAACCTTTAAAACTTTTTTTTTTTAACCTAGCATAGCTATAGCAGCTATATCCTGTGACCAAGACTATATGGGGTCATTGCCCAAGGTCTTCTACTGGCTCTTAAAACTGTCAGCGAGGGGTCTTTTCTAGTTCCATCATAATGTTGTGTAATGTTCTGAGCTCTTGGCCTGAGTTGTAAGGATGACCAGGACTGAGGTATCTTGACAGGCAGCAATGAGGAGGGGAAGGAAACAAGAAATCGGCTGACGTGAAAATTCTATGACACAGCAAGAAGGGAAAGAGCTGTTGCATTTAGAAGGTCAAAGGGAATTCATGGAACTGAGAACACMGAGTTTGCTAAAGATACAGTGATAGAGTTTGGGAAATTGGTGAGAGATTGGAGATAAGAATGTTGAGTTTATAGGTCCACCTGAGAGGTTTGGGTCCCTGGGCAATGAGGGACACAGGTACAGTTCTATAAGTCCTCAAGGGCAGGAAGTAATTAGACCCATACCCATCCTCCTTGGGAAAGCCTGCATGTGTTGGCTCTTACAATAGGGTGGTACATCTGGTCTGGTGGCCCTACCCAAGAAAGCTTACAGCTCTAGGGATCCCCACCCTCCGGGTGTGTGACTGCTGGGTAAGGGAGATTCATGGGGAACACAGGAAGCTCTGGTATGTAAGGAAATAATAAAGGGAGACACAGAAACAAGGTGCAGAGGCAGGAAAGTGGCTCCTTGTCCAAGCGGCCACTTTTATTTATACCAATAGGTTGCATTAGGTCCTTAGCACCACAACTATATTATTGTATCAGTATATAAGGTTGCTTATTCTGCAGTTACAGTAGGCAGTTACAACATGCAATGTTGGGTGCTTTGTGCAGCTCTTAAGAAACTTCATTGTCTAAAGTTGCTGTTTAGTGGGCAGATCCAGGAGCACTGGAGCTTGGTGAAACATTGTAGTTATCTAGCAAGCAAATTCCTTTATTCCCAGGAGTTATGTGCCCAAGATCAAGGTTGAAACTGATAAAACTCTTAACACGGACTTCCTCATGAAGAACATTGCTACAGGGGCCAAGCAATTAAGTTTCCCATCAGCCAGGCGTAATGTGCCTTTGCACAGAAACTTCCTGGCCACCAAGCATGCCACAATGAAAATTTATCAGAGACCTCAATCCCAAACAGAGAACCCTACACTAGTAACTCTTGTTTATCTTGCTGAAGGTGTGTGTTAAATCCGGCAGATAGGCTTTTACCAGAACAACATGGTCTTCGGGGCATGTTGCCCTAGCCTTGGGAAGAAGCACCTGGAGAATATGCCATGTTCTCAAGTTCTCTCAAGTGCAAAATCTGAAAGTTGTTTGTTTCCATAGCACTTAGTAGGCACTGCTGCACTGGGAAGTGTGAGGACCTATAGAAGTCCACAGAAGCATGCACAACTATGAACCTTCTTCATGTCTTATTATTGCAAGTTAGAAATGAGGTAAGGGTGACAAGGATCATCATCATAATTGAGTATTGTCCTGCAGGTGCTAATACATGTAGGACCTTTAAAAAATTATAAATTTTTAAAAACATTAGAAAGGAAGATGTATATTTTTCATAATTTCTGAACTAGATTATCTCTTTTAGAAAACTAAGAAAATTTTAAGAATTAGTAAGCAAAAATTTAGCATGAGACTGGGAATTGAACCAAAGGGTGCTTAACCCAGGCCTTTTTATTTTTTATTTTAAGACAGAGACCTGCTAAGTTGCTGAGGCTGGCCTTGAACTTGTGATCTTCCTGCCTCAGCCTCCTCAGTTGCTAGGATTACAGCTGTGCACCACCACACCTGGTGAAAATTTTTTTTCTTAAATAAGTGATAACGGGGGAGAGAGGAGAGTCTAGCTCCTTCAGGTTCAATAGCAAATGCTCCCACCCAAGACACACATCGTGAAAAATTCTTCAAAAATACAAAGGAAAACTTACAAATAGCAAATAAGGATAAAAAGCTATTTACTACTTGGAGGGAAAAAATCCACAAAGCTTTTCTAGAGTAATAAAGAATATAGAGATAATCCTGGGCTAGGGTTGTGGCTCAGTAGAATGCTCACCTAGCATGTGTGAGGCACTGAGTTCGATCCTCAGCACCACAGAAAAATGAAATATATTGTGTGCCCACCTACAACTAAAAAATAAATATATTTTAAAAAAGAATATAGAGATATCCGTAAATAGAAGAGTGACTCTTTTAAAAAGCTCATAAATCAAAAGCAATACTATAAAATTGCTATGGTTTGTTGCTATTTTGGTACTGGGGATTGAACGCAGGGGCCCTTTATCACTGAGCTACATCTGCAGTCCTTTTTATTCTTTGAGACAGGGTTTTGTTAAGTTGTTGAAGCTGGCCTTGAACTTGTAGTCCATCTGCCTTAGTTGCATGGATTACAGGTGTGGACCTCTCTCTTACCATATCTGATCACATGCTACCAGGACAGGTTTGAGCACCAGAAAAAGGAGGGTTATAGGGGCTGGGTTGTGGCTCAGTGGTAGAGTGCTTGCCTGGCATGTGTGAGGCACTAGGTTCAATCCTTGGCACCATATAAAAAAAATAAATAAAATGAAGGAATTGTGTCCATCTACAACCCAAAACAAAGGGCTGGGGGTATGTGTTATGTTCCTATCACTGCCTCTCTCTATGAAGCTCCTGGACCTGCACCACTGTTTAGCTAACGATGAGTGCATGTGATACCTCCAGAAGATCATAACACACTTGTAACAGGTTCCAAGAAATGATTTGGAAAACAAACAAACAAACAAAACCCCAAGATCCAAGAAAGTTCAAATAAGCAGTGAAGTAAATTAGGAAAACAATGCAGGATATGAATAAGAAATTTAGCAAAGAGACATCTTTAAAACAAACCAAACAAATCTTGAAAATGAATAGCCTACTACATTCAATTGAAAGCTTCAATGACAAGCAGAAGTAAGGCTGTCAGAGCTTAAAGGCAAGTCTTTTCCAGTAGCATATTCAGACAGAAAAATGGAACAAGTGGAGACTATTAAGGGTCATTAGGATTCTACTGTAGTATCAAACATCTATAATCATTGGAATATGTGAAGGCAAGAAAACGATTAAAAGCATAAACATATCAATGAAATATCAGAAAATTTCCCTAATCTTGGAAAAGATTTGGATATAGATGAACAGAGACTTAAAGACCCCAAATAGATATGACCAGAAAAGATTTTCAAAACAAAACATTATAGTCAAACAGTCCAAAAGTACAGGACAAAGCAAGAATTTTCAAGAGGAAAATCATAAAATCACATTTAAAGGTAACCATTAATAAGTCAACAACAGATTTCTCTGCTAAAATCCTACAGGTCAAGTGGAAATGGAATGATATCTACTAAGTCCCAAAAGAAAATAACTGCCAACCAAGATTACTATTCCCAGCAAGTTTATTCTAGGGAATAAATAACTATTAGATCAGCCTTACAAAAGACACTTAAGGAAGTCCTAACTCTAGAAATGAAAGAAAAATAACTGCTGTCATGATAGCATGTAAATGTGTAAATCCTACTGAAGAATAGATACGCAAAAGAGAAGGAAAAAACCAAACTTTAATAAAATAATCATTAAGTAACAAACATGAGAGGAAGAATAAAGAATATTCACCACATAAACATAAATAAAATAAAGGTATTGTGCCCATATACAACTAAAAATAAATGATGAACTTTAAAAAAATATTCAAAACAAATAGAAAATAAAGATAAAGTATAAGCCTATACCTTTCAATAATTTTGAATGTAAGTTGACTAAATTCCCCAGTTAAGAAATACAGACTTATCTGGATGAATTTAAAAACAAGACTCTATAATATCCTACTTTTACAAGAAACTCACTTCAGTGAAGATACAAAGTTAAAGGATGGAAAATGACACTCCTAATGGAATCCTAAAGTCAGCAGGAGTAGCTATACTCATCTGACAAAATAGACCCTATGTGAAAGGACACAGTGAAGATAACTATGGTCAAGGGATCAGTTCATTAAGAAGATATAAATATGGCAGATTAGAAGGGTGCACTTTTGAGTTTCTGATTTGCGATTCAAATAGCAAGAGTACTGTGCCTCTGCAAGATGTGTGATGAAGAAATCACA